CGTACGTGTCTGGCGCTAAGAGGAACAAACAGCCTGCCTGTCCCACCTTACTCGATCAAAAATATTCTTCACAGATGCAACATTTGAAAGAGGATTAGGAGATTATGATTGTTGCCATCTGCAAATCGCATTACGAACTTTTTTAATTTAGCGTTTTCATCTTTCACCATTATAAGCATTGTCTAGTCTTGTTTTTATCATTTTAAACATTCCTTTATAATATATTTTCAAAGTCTGTCACGACAAACTTTGAAAACACGCTATCAATAAAATATTTTTGCATCATGAAGTTCAGTTGTATGAATCATTCCAACTGCAATTTGATGAAGGACAAATATTTTTGTTGCGACAGACGTCGGTTGATAACATTTTTCATTAGTTTGGTTAGGAGCTTTGATGTTCCTACGACAAGGCAATTGTTTTTCGTGAAAGAAATATTAGGAAAATGCAAAAAACAGAGTCGATGCTCAATAACTTGTGTCTGAAAATGATTGTTATTGTTAATGACCTTATGATTTTTATTCATCTTACATCCGATAAATTTATTTGTTTCCAAGCTATTCATGCTCATTATATGTTACTGAATCCATTCAGTAATTTTAAAGGACAATCTTGAAATGACTTACTTGTGAATTCAACATGACATTTCGTGCCATTCCATGTTTCTAACGGGTGAATGTCACAGCTGAAAAATAAATTATTCATAACGCGTAAAACTATTTTACGATACTGAAAACTCATCGGCCTTTCATTCTGGCCGGCTGCAGTTCAAACTCCTATTAACTAATTGATTCTAAACATTCTTTATCAACGTGTTGACGTTTAAATCGAAGCTGGTTGGTGGTGTGGCGAACATTTCATCTGTAAAAACAACATAATAGCGTTAAGTGTTCCTTTCGTGGGCAAATGAAAAATCGTTTTTCCAGTTACCCAAGAGATGTCAGAACGTTCTCAAATGCGGATCTTGGGCGCAGACGTTATGTTTTCCTAATAAATTTTTCAAAACCGTTTTCTCGAAAATTTTATAAACATTTTTCAATAATTTTTTCAAATAACTCTTGTTGGTTCGATACGCAATAATTAATGGACACAATTTCCAATCTTCTGAAAAACTAAAATTTTCGATTGGTTCCGCTTTAGAATCCATTTCTCATTTATATTCTAGAAGTGCTTCTGCACTCCAGTCTACTGGCTTGAGGACGGAAGACAGGTTGATTCACGTTCATTCATACATAATTACATTTCTATGATTCAGTTGTGTTTCATTGGTTAGTGTTAAGTGTTCATCATCTATCAGCCTATCTTAAATAATCATTAAGAATCGGCATATTTCAAATATTTATTGTCAATCAGCTCTATTTAAAGATATTTTAATTTTTTTCTATAGTTGTTTGACCTATCGTCTATTTATGGTTTTTCTGACGGGCCTAATTTATTTGTTGCCTATAAATCCTCCAATCTGTATGTTTGCAACAAATCGACCCATTAAAAATGAACCAAGAACAATAGAAAAAGTCTCCTAATGGTTGCGTCACGCAATCCTGTGCATATGCATGCACTCCACAACCACATGCACCAACAACCACCTCAATAACGAAGTGGCTATTTCATTTTTATGATTGAATTTTATTTTCGTTGTTTAGTAATTTTAGTTTTTCATTTTTTAAACTACAAATTTCATTAAGTTATTTTTGTTTGATAGTCTAAAAGACGCAGTTGTGTGTTTGTTGTATCTTGTGTCGGCATGTGGGCAGCAGTAACTTAAAATTATTCTCTACTGCCTCAATCAGTCAGGCCAGACAGAAATCAAACAAAAGCATGTTTTGACACTTTCAACAAAATGTAATGATACTTTTTTTATTCTCGTAACAACCGCATTATGGTATCTCAATTGCGTTGTTTCGACTGATTGAGAGTGTTTCCTTGCCAGCGTTCATGTTAGTGTTTTGTGAAATTTCATTTGAGACAGGAATTCTAAATTTCATTTTGAAACTGTGAATAATCTTATTTTGCTATTTTAAAAAATAAACTAATTAAAAATATTCAAAATTTTTTGACTGAAAGAATTAACTTGTTTTCGCTAACATTCGAAGGCTATATGAGTATGCTACGTGTATGCTACGTGTATGCTTCGTAATAATTCAAATGAAAGTTCATGCAAATATTTTATACCGAATGTGTGAACACTGAATGTATATGAAAATGATGCGAATGTTATTTAGCGTTGAAAATATGTTCAATTATTTCTATTTTGATATGCTTTATTTCAAAAATTTAACTGATGTTATTAACAAATAACTTTGTGATAAACGCCAAGCACTGTGCTTGTGCACTGCATGTTGAAAGTTCTATAAGTGAAACGAACCAACAAGATACAACAGGATACAACAAGATACAACAACAAAAAGAAATGCTACAAGATACATTCAAATGTCTCCAACATTCAGCTGAACAACATTGTCACAGGCTTGAGATTTTTCTAGTAAAAATAAAAAGTTTCAAAGAATAAAATCACGATAATGTACGAAAGTGAAGTCAAAGCAAGACGAGAAATGAAAAAATCCAATTAAACAGGATTACAGCGACGTCTAGGAAGTTATTTTTTAGTGCAGATTAAAGAAAAAAATGAGTTTTGAGTGATTTTGATTGAATTTATGATTACATTGGAATGTTATCTTTACGGCTTAACATTTATTTCAGGCTGGCCGCAGCCAGGATTGCCAGCAAAAATGGTTTCGCGCGTGCACATTTATGATTTATAGTTTCGTTTCAAAATGTTTGGAGTTGATTGATCATTATTAATATGCTCAATTCAAACGTTTCATTGTTTGAGTTCATGCTTGAAATTTTTAAAAAATATTATCTCATAATGATAATAATATAATTGAATCAAGTAAATTATTGTTGCCTCAAGAAAGAAATAATATAATTTTTTCAGAAAGATTGAAAAACCTTTTGAAACTTGAAGTGTGGTGTTACATTGCAAAACCTTAAAATAACTAAAAAGATAAGGTCAAGATGATGTTATTCGTGAGAAAATTAGATTGCAATGCAGGTTAGAGCCTGAAGTTTAATCACACGGTACCTTCTTTATGTAGGCACTTCATCTTGGAAGCGCCTCCACTATGCAAAGTTGCCTCGCTCATCCCGGTTTAACATATCCACACGAACACGAAATGATCATCGCACGTACCTTAATGAAATGCGGCTTTATTGCATTTCGTGATACTCCGCTTGGCTGGCTCGCATGTCTGCGCTGCTTGCAAATAAAAGTAGCCAGTGAGATTTCTGCGTCATGTGCATCTTTCTGAGTAACATCGAGAAAAGGAGAAGAAGAAATCGAACGCTTGCTTCGCACACACTGCATGCAAATTCAAACATTTTCAATTTGCAATACAATTTTCAGAACATTTCATTAATTCTGTGTAAGCTTTAGTTAGAAGACATTGCGGTTTGACTCTATACATATTTATTTTAGTTATGCTAATATCCAACTTGAAGGAATTTTTATTGGAAAATAAATAATGACTCCAACTGCTAACAAAACAAAATCAAACAATGAAAATTGCATATCAAAATGCATAGTGAACGTTGAATGTGGAATACAAAGCAAAACGTTTTGCGAACGAGCACCAGTTAGAGGCTCGATGCTTACACGTCAAATATTTTGATAGAAGGTCCGGAAGATGTGAAGTATGTATTTGCATAGAAGCAAGCAAGCAAGCAACCTCGTCTCATACGTTTTGCTCCGTGCAAGTGTTAGTGTTTGCTCAAGGCAGAAGAACATGTTTGCACTCGTTTTTTTCCTGTTTTTTGTGTATAATGAATTGTTAAGTGCAGTTGTGTGGGTGTGCAAGGAAAAGCACAGAAGGCTCCATTGCCATCAAAATGTAACCAGTCTTGTCGGTCCACATGTCCGAAATGTTCTTTATATTCTTCTTGTTGTCCAGTGAGTGTTATTTAGTTCAGTAATGTTTTTGTTGCATCAAATCAAAGGATACAATATTTGTAACTTCTATTTCATGAAAGTTTAACCAGCGGCAACACTGGCTTAGTTTCAACAGATTTCTCCAAGTGGAAACAAATTAAACCAATGGCACCCGCACAATTGAATTGAAATCTCGAGTGGTTGAATTTTTTATATATTTTTTTAAAACTTACAATAAAACAAAACTTACTTGCGATATTTGAAAAATTATTACACGCGAACGTGCACTGTCGAGTGCATTGTTGTGTAAACAAGGAGTGCACGCGTCTCAGAAGCATTTGCGCGATTGTCGGCGGGTGGCCTGGCTGAATGGATGGAGCTGCTGTTTGTTGCACGTTCGTGCAAACTGAACAAACTCCTCATTCATAACATGCACCATCAATGTTGTCCGCATGCAGGTTTGCTTGGCTTTAATTAGCTCAATCAATCTCTACGTGCCATCTAATCACGAAACGTACAACAACCTCGCGACACGCATACACCATCATACATCGCTAACCGTCACAAAACATCGTCATGTGTGGTGAAAATTTTCTTGCAAAATAACCAAAAAATTTAATAGTTCTGCACAATTTGAATGAAATTGTGTAATCATTTTTCGTGTGCTTTTTATAATTGAACGATCCTTATAAGCAACATTTTAGTTTAAAAAATTATTCAAAAACTTTTTCCTAAGTAAATGAAAAATATTCCGTTTTGAAAACACAAATTTATATAATGAAAACTATTTCCCTATTTCCTGGAAAACTATTTCCCGACCAGCCCAGGCGGTCTACTGTTGTGGGATTCGTGATTCGGAAGGAATGGATTGGGATAATTTCTATTATGACATCCTCTTCAGTCAATTGAAGGATTTTTATAATCATTTTTCTAATAAAAATTATAATTTATAAATAAGAAGAAGATAGAAGAACAATGAATAAGAGAATAAAATATTCATCCACTCAAACACAGAGCATAGAATTAAAACAAATAATATTTGAATGAACACGCGAGGGACACGCTAACCAACCTGCCAGCCACCTCCTGACTCGCACTGAAGGGCATCACCAGCAGAGCCACCAGCAGATCCGCGAAGGCCAGGGACACGATGAACATGTTGGCCTTGGTCCTCAGGTTGTGGTAGCGGCTGACACTCAGAATGACCAGTGCATTGCCGACCACTGCGCATATTATAATTGAACCGAGCAACAAACTTTTTATCACGGCGATCAGGATTGATGTCGTTGCTGTTGTTGCTGCAGTGCTGCTGCTGCTGCTTGTGGTGGCGGCGGTGGTGGCGATGTTGTAAGCTGTCGTCGTCGTCGTCGTTGTTGACGGATAGAAATATATTACCGACGATTTTGTTGTTTCAGACTCCATAAAAATTTAACAACAAATTATTTCTTGTGTGTTATGAGGCGCTGAATAAAAATATATTTTTAAATTTGTATGTATGCCTATATATGTATGTATGTTTGTCAATATATTTATGCGTGTGTATGTATATATGTATGTATATTGGTTGTCAAAACTGTGACAAATAACATAACGTATGACATAGGTGGGTTTAGTATCTAAAGTTAGTGGGATATAATTTAAATTTATTTTGAGTTCAGTTATTTTGGAGCTTCAGTCAACAATCAGCTGTATTGTTGTCATTGAATTCAATTGTTTGTTGCGGCAGATGGATTGCAATGGAGTTAATCATCATCACTTGTTGGAGTTGCTATTGTTATTGTTGCTTCTGCTGTTTTTGTTGTTGTTGTTGGTTCTGCTGTTTTTGTTGTTGTTGTTGGTTCTGCTGTTTTTGTTGTTGTTGTTGGTTCATTGTGGCACGTCGCTCAGATAAGTTGCAAGTATTCAATGCGAATCCATCCACACATAAAGTTTGCCCTGTTTAATTTCAAACATAGACGTTAATATTTGAACGCTCAATCATGATGCGCAGCCATGCAGCCACCAGCCATTAAACAATTGCAATTTTTGATTTCGTTTGTTTATTGAATTATAGGTGCTTAAATTAAATAACCCAATTTTCCTTATCTCACTCTCTCATTCAGATACCACATCGATACACAAGCCCGGTTAGAAACCTTTGGTTGCTTCTCAAAATTGGCGTTGTTTTTGGGGCGTTTCGGGACAAATGTTATTGTAAATAATTTGGTTAATGGATATAATTTTATTATTTTCAAGTTTTTTTAGCATTGTGTTTATTGCAGGGAAGATTACATACGCATACTGCTTTGCGCCCTTCAATTGCTTCGACGTTATCTAATGAATCTCACGTCATTACTAATTATTTTGCATATATGGAAACAACACAAACTCAAATATATATATATTTAATAATATATTTAATATATATATACATAATATATATATATATATATATAAATAATATATAATATATATATATATATACAAACATATGTGAAACATGCATCAACACAAGCTATAAACATTAACAAACGAGTGAACCTAAACTTGCTCCGATACAAACATGTACAGACTCACATACACACACACACTTGCAGACCCGCCCACACGCACACACACATACACACAATGACACACACATCTTTAAAAACATTCTGATGTGGTTGTGGTGATATAAAGACAGAGAAATGTGCGTTATTACCTTTTTTCATTTCATTGATTCGATGCATCATGTACAATTCAGAGGTATTTGTTGGTATTGTACGTGTATGTATACAAGTGTGTGTGTGTGTGTGTGTGTGTGTGTGTGTGTGTGTGTGTGTGTGTGTGTGTGTGTGTGTGTGTGTGTGTTAACAGCATGAATCAGCAAAAATCCAAATAATTTATATTTGTTTTTATCGTTGCATTCTTGATGTTAGCAGCCGAACTTATTTTTCAACGTTTTGAAAGTGATAATAAACTTTTTAATTTGGTTTCTAATAATTGTGCTTGGTAGAATTCTGATTTCATTTATAAACACATGAAAATTTCTACACCTAGGGTTTTATAGACAGTTGAATTATTGATGAATATTTTCAATATAAAATAAAACGCTGTGTGATATCCAGTTTGTTTGTTGATTGGTTCACTGCAGACATTTTCCATTGACTGTATTGAATTGCAAAATTTCTGGGAATCCCTATTCTGAAAAAACCTACAATGATTAATTATTATCATTGCTTTCTTAATAATCTCTCAATGAGATGCAAAACTATCATATATTTCTTACAATAGACTTTCATTTTCGGTTATTTCATAGACTTAAAATATACTTAACTGTTGGCTATGATTAATAAATCGTTTCTTGTTTGTTTCTTCCGCCCTCTATATTGTTCAATTTTGTTCCTTTAATTTGCTTATTCATTTTGGTCACTCAACTCTAACATTAAAAACTCAAAAATAAAGATAGATATTTTTGCTGATAGCTGTAACTGAAGCTAAAAACCCTTACAATTACAATTACAATTTTTATTTAGAACCAAAAAAAGAAACAAGGTCCAGGAAGACAGTGAAGAGTCATCGAGCACTGCCACCTTGTCATTGAGTGACAATATATAAAAATGTTCGTACAAACACATTCACACATGTATACATATACCTCATATATATTTGTAAAAATAAAATTGAATATGCATATAAAACATAAAATTATATGGGCGTTTCATTAAATAATTGAGAATGTTTTCACCACAAATTAAAGAAATAAATAAATATGACAATTTCAAGGAGTAAATAAAATATGACTATGAAATTAACAAATAAGATTGTAACCAAGACCATTAATGCATATAGAAGTATATATATGACAATCAGGTGACAACAACTGACCAATATCAAAAGAGCTAACTCCAGAGGCGTGAACAGAAAAGAGCTTTGCGGATGAAGTTTCTCACAGTGGACAATTTTGCCAGGGTTAACTCAAAATTGAACAAAATCTCTATTAAAATTAGCAAAAATTTTGACTGAAAACTATTTTAGCCTCACACTAAAATCAAGTTAAGTTGCATTTTGTTTACAAAACCACATGTTTTAAAAAAATTTGTCAAAATCTCCGTGATAAGGTCGTCGTCCACTTTTTAACCAACTTAAGCTCTCGAAATTATAAAATAGTGTATTGATATAATAGTGACCTAGCGCGGCTTACACATGCGCTAGTAACCTTCTAACTAGATTGTCTTGAATCAAAATTTTTGGAAACATAATATTCACCGATGAGAGATGTCCGTTTGATGATGTTTCATAGTCAATGCGGTGCATTTTAAACTGGAAATAATGTGACATACTTTAAAAAAAATCATTTTTATTATGAACACCGAGGGTTTATGCAAAATGGAAAAGATTGAACTGTTATAGAGTTTTTAAAAATAACCAAAATACTTGTTGAACTGATTGAACTGTTATAGAGTTTTTAAAAATAACCAAAATACTTATTGAACTGATTGAACTGTTATAGAGTTTTTAAAAATAACCAAAATACTTGTTGAACTGATTGAACTGTTATAGAGTTTTTAAAAATAACCAAAATACTTATTGAACTGATTGAACTGTTATAGAGTTTTTAAAAATAACCAAAATACTTGTTGAACTGATTGAACTGTTATAGAGTTTTTAAAAATAACCAAAATACTTATTGAACTGATTGAACTGTTATAGAGTTTTTAAAAATAACCAAAATACTTGTTGAACTGATTGAACTGTTATAGAGTTTTTAAAAATAACCAAAATACTTGTTGAAAACGGTAACCTGGTCTGTAAATTTATTCTTTGTAACGAATTTTAAAAAGTGTCAGTTAGTGTTTGATTGAATAGAATCAGACAACTCCATCTACTTACTAATTGCTGTTTTTCATACCGCCAGTGAAACGGACATTAATTGTTGGCGCCAATGACAATAAAATCCTCATTCAATATTCTGGAGTGAGTTTGAAAATAAGCTCTTCTGATAACTTGAAAGATTGAATTAAATAAAAGATTTATAAACTTGAATACCAATATTGTAAAAATTTATTTAAATTGTTTATATTGATTAATATTATTTATTTATTTATTTATTAACAAATTGGCAATGAAATTCAAATCAGTAGAATAATGAAAATTAAATTAAATTCAATTGATTTTGTAAAGATAATCATTGAGTTGCTTGAAAATTTTACAGTTTTTGTTAGTATTTTGCAATTGTATCTATTGAAACATTGGAACCATCGTCGGCTGAGCGCTACAGAATAATCAAATGATGGTCCGCTTTTAAATCTTACTTCCTATTTAAATGCCTAAAGTTAAACTGTTGAAAATAACAGAAATAGTTTTTAGACGTAAAACTAACGTCGCCCTGAACTCACGGGTCGCATCGCATTGGCAGGCAGGCCCACACCCCAACCAACCTGCCCACTGCTGTTTGCCCCCATCTGGCACCAAACTAGCTGTCCTAGTTCTCATACATGTTATGTTACTAAGTTTCTGTCTAACATTTTGTTGACCGTTTGTTATCCCTTTTACCAATTAAATTAACTGAAATAAATTGAAATAAAACTAAAAGCCTCAGTGACACGAAGGTTTGAACGTAGGTATGATACGTAAGCAGTTCCGCGCATAACCGAGCCGCATGAAGAAGAACATTATAAACAACATTTATATTTTGATAGTGTTTGCTCGTGTTGTCGAAATGTTTGAAAACTCTTTCTAAATTGTTGTTTTTACAAGCAGAGCAAATAATTGCAGCGGATGAAATTTTATTTATTCTTTCAAGTAACTCAATGAAAAATATAATTTAATGCGTTTTGTACGCTCGAGGCACATGTTCCAAAAACAGCTTGTCAGCCGTGAAGAGTGTCAATGCGTTGTGTTTCGAAAGTTGAAATGCCAGGTTCAAACATTATATTGTCTATGCTTTTTACATTTTTTGCTGAAAAAATAAAAATTAACGCAGAATACTACCTACGTGTACGCAGTTTTTAGATCAAATCTATTTTGTGACTTTTTTTCGTAGTTTAAAAATTAGTTGAATGTGCTGCACAATAAAAAATTGTTTATACAAACTCTAATGAAAATATTTGTTGTCTAGCTTGTTCAAATTGAAAAAGTGGAAAATTAAATATTTGATCCAAAAAACAATAATACATTGTTTATTTGAAAAAGTGGAAAATTAAATATTTGATCCAAAAAACAATAATACATTGTTTATTTGCTATAAACTTCAGTCTGAGTCAACGTGTTCTTGAGACGTTGACGGGCGGGCAGGGACTGGGGAGCTACCAACAACGGCCCCTTGAAAATGAAAACCTAACTTGCCGGCTTGCAAAAAAGAACGAAACACATTATATATTTAATTTTAATTAAATATATTACTATATTCAATTTTAATTAAATATATTAGGTTATAGGCAACACACCGCATAACAATTTGC